CCCCCCCGACCCTGACCCCGCCCCCCAGCCCCAGCCAGGCGAAGTCCCAACCCTAGCCGGCCCCCGCCAGGCCCCGTCTCACTTTTTCAGGCCCGGCCTCCAGCTGCTGCCTCTGCTCTACGCAGATCTGCCCCACGCGGGCCAGCAGGTCATGAGGGGGCATGAAGACCCGGGAGCTCAAGAGAAAGGTGAAGATGTATGTCCTCTGAAGGCAGCAGACAGAGAGAGGGCGGAGGGCGGAGGGCTGGTCAGGTTCGGCAGAGGCGGCACCCCAGGGGCTCACCGCCGCTTCACCTGGCCCGGCTGCCTCCCAAGCCCAGCACCGCCCGTCCCGCGGCCATGCTTTCGCCTGCCAGGTTCCCTTCGCCTTACAGGCCCTTCCTCCCTTACTGCTATCCCGGCCCTGCCCACCTAGGAGGCACAGCTCGAGCCCGCCTCCCAGCAGCTCTCGAGGGCTCCTAGCAGCCTTCCTCTGCTGGGATTCTCCAGCACCCTTTGCCCCACTCCACCATAGGGCTAACCCCAGCCTGGGACATTGGTGGGGCTCTGTGCGCTGGGATGGGCCTGCTGCATGGCCCATGGTGCTCGCTGCGCCAGGATGCAAGCCAGCTGCTTCTCCAGATCCTCGTGAGCTGGGCCAGAGGTCACAGGTGAGTAGGGTGGGGTGCAGGGAGGCTGGCACAGGAGCCGGGCCTGTTAGGAGCAGGGCTGATTCGTGGGGTGAGGCCTCATCAGCAGGGGTGTGGCCTGAGGGGCAATGCTCTTTGGGGCCCCTGCACTGTCTGACCAGCTCTGGGCCCAGACCCTGACTGCCAGAGCAGGGCCCCTCCACACCACATCCACGTGTCCTCCATTGAGATCCTCATGGGCTGGGTTCTTGGGACTTTTGTCTAATGAGGGTCAGTGTCTGTGGGAACTTCACTCTGGCTCCTGCTTGTGGACAGGGTGGACGTGCAGGTGGGGAAGACTGCCTGGGGCTCTCTAGAGGTATTCTGTTCTGTGTGGCTGACGCAGGCTGGGCTCTCCAGGAGCCTCTACCCCTACTCCCTCATAACACGGTTTTTCTTGCCCCAGCCAGAAGCAAACCAGACTGCATTTGCTGGATGCGCAGGCCTCCTGGAGCACGACTCAGGGGCCTGGGCTAGCACTGCCCACCGCAGCCCTCCCTGGAGCATTGGGGACTCCTCTAACATCCTGCAAACTTCCCATGCCCTGCCCCAGGCTGTGCAGCATGGGGACTTGAGGGTCGGAGCCAGCACATCTCTCAGGGTCCCCTTCTAAGGAGACAACTCAGACATGAAGGAAAAGCCCGCCATGGAACTCATAGCCAAGGGCAGGGCACCCAAGGGGAGCCTGTGCATCTCCAGGAAGGCGCACAGTGACTGTGTGTGTGTGTTTGTGGGCGTGTGTGAGTGTGTTCGACTTCCTGTGCACATGGGGATGGGTGGGGTGGCAGGGAGGAGCTGATGCCCAACTGGACTCTCCTGGCCCTGCCATCACTCTGTCCTCTCCTGGGAAGGGGACAGGATCTCAGGGCACAGGGACCACATTTGGTGACCGCCAAGGCAGCTCCTCTGGGGTAGGCCTCTGAGAGGGGCGGCCTCTCCAGCTTTGACCTGAGGCCCCTGCCCCACAGACAGCCCTGCCCTGGACTCCTTCGGGGCCTTGGGCCCCTAGCCTGTCCCTCCCCTATGGGCACTCAGCAGCCTGTCTGCACTGCCCCAGCCAAACCCTGACATGGCTTACGGGACGGACAGAAGGACAGATGGAGGAGGAGGAGGAGTGGGCAACACAAAGGCAAGGCCCCCCACAAAGCCCAGGCAGGTGGAGGAGGCCTGGCAGGTGGTGAAGCGGGCTGACTGCAGCCCCATTCAGTGGAAGCTGGAGGGTGGCATCCCTCCCAACCACCTCCCTGCAAGCTGTCTGACTCCCAGGCTGACAAGCAGGGCAGGAAAGGAGAGGGGGTAGCATGACGCAGGCAGAACAAGCCCTCCCAGAGGGCGGATGCTCAGCTCACAAGAGGGAGCTAGCAGGCCCAGAGCTACTGCTGCTAAGAGACATCCACCTCAGGGGGAGGGAAGCCAGACTTGACAAGGGAACGCTTTCTCTGATCCAAGAATGTACCATGCCACCTTGAGGTGAAAGGGAGAATTTGGATTACTGCCTAAGGACAGTCCCTGAGGCAGCCTGAACAGTGTCCTGCTGACAGGGCAGGGCAGGGCAGGCCAGGCCATCTCTTCATTCTGGACCACCAGGGTTTATGTACAAACCAGCTTCCCAGCTCAGCCCTGGGCTGTAGGACCTTGGCTGGCCGTGCCCTCGCCAGGAGTTTACCCTTTAAAACTCCTCTTCCTCCTGGAGGCCCTGCTCAAAACTCAGGGCCCTGCTCGGCCCTTGTGTGTTTCTGCTTCTTGTGTCCTCAGGATCATCTCCTCCTGTCTGGGGCAGCAGCAGGGAAGTCACAGCAGGTTTCCCCAGGTCCCCTGCCTAGCTGGGGGTATATGCAGAGCAGAAGGCAGAGAAGGCCCTGGAAGTGGGCCTGGGCCCCCCACTGCCCCACCCCTCCTGCAGCCCTGTCCAGCTCTACCACTCGATGGGGGCCTCCCTCCCACACCCGACATCTCCTGGAGCCCAGGTCACCCCACTAGATTCACCCCACAAGGGCCCAGGCACTTACATCAGGGTAATAGTCCACCGTGGGAACAAGGTGCTCCATCAGGGCCTCCAGGGACCCAGAGATGAGGCGTCCATCTTGGAAGATGAGGTCCCCAGAGCCGCTGCTGGCCCCTCCTCCACGCTCCCCCATGCCAGGCTGCACCTGTCCGCTACAGCTGGGCCCAAGTATGCTAGAGAAGACGACAGATGTCTGGGGCATAGTTTCCTGGTAGAGAAGAGCAAGGGCATGAGGCATCAAAGGTGCCTCCACAGCTCCCCAGACCCTCCTCCCAAGCAGCCTGCAGCCTGTGTGCATGTGGGCAGGAGTGCGTGATGGGGGCGCAGCAACACTGGCAGGGGACACCCCCATCCCGGGGCAGGCAGGCTCCTCAGTGTCCCCCAGCCGCTGCATATCTGATCACTGTGTCTTCAGCTCCCTGCAGGCCAGGCCACATTCCAGGGGCCTGGACACTCAGAGCCATCAGAGAAGAGAAACTCTGGAAAAAAACATCTGAGGAGGGACAGGAAACCTGTGGTGAGCAGTCAGGGCCGCTTGGGGTGAGAGGGCTGTGAACAACTGATAGGGCTGGCCACGCAGCTTCCAGGATAGGAAAGGAACGCTCTGGGCATGAGGGACAGTGAGTGCCGAGGTCCTGACCCAGGGTTCTGTGCAGCGGGGAGCGGGGAGGACAGTCTGAAAACAGGGCTGGCCTCACCACACGTGCTGCTTCCCTGAGGTGGAAGCCTGGGGCTCTGAGCACAGTGGTCTGACTTGTGGTGGCTGCTGCGGGCGAGGGAGCCTGCAGGGGAGGCATCTGGAAGCCAACAGTGGGTCTTGTCACAGCCCAGGGAGAGCGTGCCCAGGCGGGCAGGCAGGGCCACTCCAAATGGTGAAGGTGCTGGGCCGAGCGGCTGACAGCACAAGGCAGGGCATGCGGGCAAGGCTGGGGAGAAATCTGGAACTGGCTTTGGGGCTTGCGAGTCTGAGTGCCCCTAAGATGCACGTGTCTGAGCAGCCAGGCTTCCTGATGGGCTCAGTGCCCACTGTCCCTCGTGGCATGGCCCGTTGTGATGGGGCGCAGGGTCTCATCTCACCCTGCAGCTAGGAGTTCTTGTGAAGCCCAAGGGAGTCTGAAGCCCTCTGGGCCTGTTTTCCCATTGCCCCAGCCAGCCAGCCACGCCTGAGAGGAGCCAAGAGGGGACTGGGCGATGCAGCATTTGCCAGCCTAAGAGCTAGGGGTGGCCTGCCCATGGCCTTGGCCACACATAGGGCCAGCCTCACCCTCCTGGCCCTCAAGGGCAGGCAGCACGGGTGCCAGTGGCTGAAGTCAGGTGGAGGAGCCAGACCCTCCTGCCACAGCAGGGCCACAGACGGCCTCGACTGCACTGGCTGCCCTCTGCTGTCACTGGTGGCGGTCTCCCGGGGCATGCGCCCAAAATCACACTGCCCCCCCACCTGGGGAAGGGCTCCCTCCTCATGCCCAAGAGGTCATTATCCAGGAAGTAGTGGGAAGTGCGTCCATGCCCTCCTCAGACAAGCTGCAGGTGCTCAGCATGGGCCTTGTGGATGGAACAAGCCTCTGAGCCGTGTTTCCCTACTGCACAGAGCAAATGGTAGCCATGATTACTTCAGTGCCATGACAGGACCATGGGCCCCTGCCTTACAAGCAGAGAGCTGACCACCCCCCACGCCACCCCCACACATGGCACATCCTTGTCGCTCCTGTCAAGGAAAAAGGGCATCTGGCTCAGACGACACTGGTTTTCCTACCACACGCCTAAAGGTTTCCTTGGAATTCTTAGGAAATCCTTGGCAAGGGAGCAAGAACATAACCAAAGGCCCCACGATGAGGCCAGGTGGGTTGTCCAGGCCCCCAGGCTCAATGCTGCCCCCACTGCAGGGCAGGGAGGTCATGGTTCAGACTCACACAATGCTCCCCTCAAACTCAGGCCAGTTGCAGTGTTTCACACAAGTTAGAATGCACATTCTCAGGCCTAGCCCTGGACCTGCTGGTCAGAAACTCAGGGGTGGGCTGTTTCTGTACTCTAACACGCCCTCCATTCCAGCCCAAGAACCTGTGATGTGAGCCAATCCTTCATTTTTCAGATGGTGAAACTGAGGCCCAGTGGGAAGGAACTCAACTAAGGAAACCCTAGGAGTTCCAAGTCAAACCCAGGTGTCACCACCTCCAGGAAGCCTCCCTGAGTTTAACCTAGACTATTGACCCAAGAAGCCAGAAGTGGCTGTATCATTCACTTGTCTGTCCTATTGCTGGCCCAGTGTGTCACTCAATGACCATTTGTGCAATGAAATCACAAAGGCAGGCTCACAGACCCCTTGTTGCCCACAGCTGCTCAGCCTGACCCCAGGCATCTTACCCAAGACCAATGCACGGCAGGACAACTTCCCCACGATCACACAGTTCTGGGTTCAAAAGGTGACCCGCAGGTGGTAATCTTGATCAGTTGGGCCTCCCCACCCCAATCTCTTGGGGTCATCAGAGAGGGCATTTGCCAAGCCACTGGCCTCTCCCGCTGCAGGCTGCTCTGGTCAGGACATACTATTTGTGGGGGATGCACTCTGACACCCACAAACTCAGCCCCTGCTGATCCCCCACAGGGCAAGGCCACCCCATGTCCAGCCTGCTGAAAGACCTGCCTCAGTGCTGGGAGGCCTGCCTGGGAGCTGAGGAGCCAGCCTGGGGACGCAGCCCACTGGTCAGCAGCCAGAGAGGGGCTGGGTAGGCCACAAGGGAGTTGGTCACCTTCGAGAGTGGGGGCCTGAAGAGGGTGCATGCAGGGTGTCTCAGACAAGCAGGGGATCCATGCAAGCTCAGAACCCCTTCAGGGAGTCAGCAGAGCCTGAGGGGGGCCGTGTAGAGCCACACTGACCTGAGAGATGGGGTGCCCTGGGTTCCTCCTATCCTGCCTACATGGAGACCCCCCCAGAAACACAGCCCACAAACCAAGACCCTGCAGGTCTGGGAGATGCCCCAAGAGCCCCTACCCCCGAAAGCTCAGGCCTAGCAGGGCCCACCCTGCCTAGCCACAAAGCACTTCAAGAAGGTTCTCCAAGGCTCAGTGCCAAGTGGATAGGCAGGTTCCCCACATGGCTGCTCCCAGTCAGGAATCCTGGCCCTGAAGCCGGCACGGTCCTTGTTCCTGGGTGCATCTGGCCAGCCCTTGACCTTCCCAGCTGTGAAACGATGGTGATGACAGCACTCTCCCTGCAGGGTCCCCTGCCAGCCACCCCCACATGGCCCTGAGGTCCCTTGTTCTTGCACCCTGTGTCCTCCTCCTCCCCAACAGCAGAGGCAGGCACTTTGACGTGCAGCTGCACACCTGTGTGTCCAAACAGCTGTGTCCACACCCAGGTGGCCCTTCCCAGGGAAGAGCTGCACACTGGGCCCTTGGCTCCAGTCACAAGCAATAGCGATCACGGTGCAGCGATGGCCAGGGTGCTGAACGCTGAGAATGGCAAGGTTAGAGTTGAAGAATCCCAGTTGCTTCTCCCAGTCACCCCTGTAATCCCAGAGAACCCATTCTTTCTATAGGAAGATGAGGGCTGAGTAACTGCCCCAGGTCACCGGCAGAGGGCAGCAGAAGCCGGCAGGGAGCCTGAGTCTGAGCCTGGCTCCACCACTTATCGTGACTTTGTCAAGATCATCAAACCGGTGGAGCCTTAATTTCGTTGTCTGTAAAATGGGCACAGGGAGCACTACTACAGAGGGTTGCATGGAGGATCAGATGAGCCCCTAGGTAAGGTGCTGGCACATGATGCCTCCTCACCCCCAGGAGCTGATTCCCACCACCATGATTGCTCAGGGCCCCTACAGCCCACACAGAAGGCACCACTTACTCTAGACACACTGGCCCTGTGTCTCTGGGCACTGTGGAGAGCTCAGGAAGCCCCCCAGGGGTTGGGCAGAGACAGGGCTGGGGCGGGCCAGCTTGCTCAACCAGCATTTGTGGGAAGCCTCACCCCACCCGAAGTCCAGCTGGGCCTGGCCTGGACAGAGCAGGCCACCCTGACCCCAGAGAGCCAGACCCTGCAGGGATGCTCTAAGGCCAGGTGTGATCCCTGGAGCAGCAGCAGCACCTTCTCCTGAGCCAGAAACTGATGGGAGTAAGCCCAGCACTCCCCCTCCAGGTAGCTCAGCTGCACAGTGGAGTTCCCTACAGCCTCAAGACTCCAGGTGTCACTGGACCTGCAGCTACAGCATGACCTGTTGATCGTCAAAGTGCAGATCTCAAGTTCCGGGCCTGGCCTGCTGAGTCACATCTGCTGCTGAGCAAGACACCAGGTGATTCATGTGCAGGTAAATGGAAAGCTCAGGAAGCCTGCCCGTGAGAGCCTCAGCCTCCAGGTAAGCTGCACCCGCTAACCCAGGGCAGGGGTCAGGTACAGTGGCTCATGCCTGTAATCCCAGCACTTTGGGAGGCCGAGGTGGGTAGATTGCTTAAACTCAGGAGTTGGAGACCAGCCTGGGTAACATAGAGACCACTGTTTCTACTAAAATTAAAAAAAAAAAAAAATTACCCAGGTGTGGTGGCACATGCCTGTGGTTCCAGCTACTTGGGGAGCTTGAGGCAGGAGGATCGCTTAAGCCCAGGAGGTTGAGGCTACAGTGAGCTGTAATCACGCCACTGCACTCCAGCCTGGGCAACAGAGCCAGACCCTGCCTTAATCAATCAACTGATCAGTAAACAAACCAGGGCAGGTCGTCAGCTATAGTATGTGCACACCCAGCACCACCTGGGGACTTTTCATTCAAAGACACCATGCTGGACCCCCACCCCAACAACTCTGATTTAACTGGTTTCAGGGGCAGGAGAGACCCTGGCATCTTTCACAGAATTCCAGGAAGCACAAGGAGCCTGTCTCCTGCCTCAGCTGCTCCTGGCTGCAGCAGACCCATCGCGAGGCAGCAGACCCTATGGAGGGCTCAGGAAGCGCCCCCAGGATGTAGGCACAGACAGGGCCAGGGCCAGCCAGTGTGCTGGACTAGCATTTGTGGGAACCCTCACACCAACCCCAGGTCCAGCTGGGCTGGCCTAAAACAGCAGCAGCCCCTTGCAGGGAGCGGGGTACAGGCTTGCACCCAGTAGCCCCTCTGGCTCCCTGGAGCCCCACCTCTGTTCAGGCAGAAAGGAAAGTGCCTCCTAATTATAGAGCTAATCAACGCAGAAGAAACGTGCTCACAGCGAGGCGGGGGAAAGTGACTC